AAACGGGGACGGAACTCAGCAAGAAACTGCCCATGTCGCGGTGCGCCCACCGCCCCGACTTGATTACTAAAGCGAAGTGCTTCTTGGGGTTGAAACTGTAGTACAGCGGAGGAAAAGACGCCAGCGCCGCTGCTCGTCTTGGAGAGCCCTCGTCGCCACGGCTGGATTCACTTCGGAATGCTGGTCAGGACGCACCCCGGGAGAGGCCCGGAGGGCAGCGGCGCGGTATCTTGTGCCCCCCCCCAGTCGTACCCAACTCTGCATTCTTCTCCGCCCCTTCCAGTGGCAAGCGAGGTCCTGCCGCGCCAGCTGCCCGCGCCCACCCGCGCGGCTGGGCAGCCGGCCCCGCGCCTGCCATGGGGGGGCAGGGAGGAGGCCTGGATGAGATATGATATGTGAGTGCGCAGTTTCCCTCGAGGTTTTACCCAGCGCACGACAAGTCCACTGGCAAGACAACGATGACCACCAAGATCTACGACCAGCAGGAGGGCGAGAACTTATTCGAGGAGGGCGAACGCACCACCATGGAACACAAGAAGGCCCCCTCGTCCTCCCGGGGGCTGGGGGGTCTCCGCATCACGCGGCCCCGCGCCGACGGGCCCGCGCGGGCCCGCGATCCCCCGCTTTTCGCCGCTACGGCAAAGACCAGGAGAGTGAAAACCATGGTCCTTCGCGACAGAGCAAAATATAACTTTTGACGTTTTCTACAACATGATGTTTTCCCTTGGCATCATCTGGGGGCCACCAGGTACCCCGCCTGAACCCTTGAGCTGCCCCCGCTCCGCCTCGGACCTGTCGATCGTCGTCGTCGATCGTCGAACGTCGTTCGTCGTCGTCGCTGACCATCTGACCCTCTGACGGGGCGGTCGCTGGGGCCGGCCCCGCTCGGACAGATCCGGCGTGGACGCCCCGGGGGCTTGCGTCCCTATCGCTTCGCGCGCCCTCGCTATCAATTTTGGCCGCGCCTGCAATTCCCTGGACAAGTCTTTTTTCCTCGTGGAGGAGGAGGGGCGGCTGGAACAGATTTTCGCCTCAATGCGAACATCTGCTCCAGCCGCTCGCGTCTTGGCGGGGTGGGGGGCGGGGGGCAGTTGCTCGCGCCAGATGAGGTCGTGGACGACGGCGAGGTCAGGCTCACCCCGGACCAGGTGCAGCAGCGGTACGTCCAGGACGCAACGCAGCTCTTCGGCAGGTTCGGCAACCAATCGGAGCTCTTGGCGGCCGACATGCTCGGCGATGCTCTGCCAGCTGCCTCCGAGGATGAGCCCCTCGCCGAGAAGGGCGACGCCGCCTGGGCCGTCGGCGACTCCGACGAGTCGGGCGAGGACGTCGCCCGGGCGCGAAGGCGATGCGCCTTGGCCTGGGCCGCGACGCCCCGCAGGCGCCCGCGCCGAGCCGAGCAGGCAAGGGCCGCGGCAAGGGGCAAGGAGGCCGCAAGAACGAGGCCGCCAGGGCCCGCCGCGCCGCTGGCGCCGCAGGCGGCAAACGCGGCGATGATTACGATTCCGACGAGCAGCCACTTGGCGGGCATGGGATGCAGACGCCAAGGGCCGCCGCCCGCCCCAGGGTCCGCGGAAGCCCCTCGGCGCCGGCGGCGACGCTGCGCCGCTCGACGAGGGTCGGCGCCGGCGGGCGCGGCGACCCAGCCAGCGCGGGCGCGGCCCCGTTCGCCGGCCCAGCCGTTGGCGCCGCTCCAGACGCCAGCGCCGCCCTGGCCGCCATCGCCGCCCCAGCGGCTGGCAGCGCCGGCAGCAGAGAGGCGCTGCCGCCCCCAGGCGGAGGCGGCGGAAGGCCGACGCTGCCGCGGCAGCCGCAGCCCCCAGGCGGCGGCGACCCCGACGACCACGTCGTGCGCGGCGAGCAGCTATTTGACACGTTCTGCCGAACGTCCAGCTGGATCTCATGGGTCAGGCTTCTGAGATAAAGGCGTGCGTCGCTGATCTCCGGAAGTAGAAGACAGCCCTGGGAACTCGGCGCAGGAAGGGCAAGGTCACCGCCCAGGACGAGGCTTCGGTCAGCGCGACCATCAACAAACTGAGCGCCGCCGTTGGCTTCGCGACGGCAGCGGACAAGGTGGTGAAGCAGCCGTTCACCAAGGCCAGCCCCGACTTCATCGGGGCGTTCGCCGCGCTGGAAGGTTGGGGAGCAGGGCGCGGTGGAGCTGGCCGCGGCGGCGCCGGGGGCGGGCCCGGGCAGGGTCGACGAAGGTGGCGCGCAGAACGGGTGGGTTGAGACTCTCAACCCACCCGTCCTGCCCGCCACCTTCGCCCTGTCCCCGCCCGCCGCCCCCTGCCCCGCTGCGGCAGGCGCCGCCGGGCCCGTGGCCCGCCGCGGCAGGCGCCGTGGAGCAGGGCCAGGATCCGTTGGACAGTTTTTGGTCCGTCCAACGCGAGAAGGCCAATATCCACAGCTTGTCGGACTTCGGTTCTTTCTTGGCAGCCATCGAGTCCATGGAGAAAGACATGATCACGGTCGGCATCGATGGGGACCACATGTCAGGCGCCAAGGCCATCCTTCTCCGTGCTGTCTTGACCACCCACGTCAACGTTGCGGAGAAGATGAAGACCCCGCTCGACGAGCATCGCGATCAGCTCGGCAAGATGCTAGCATCAGTGCGGAAAGGCGGTTTCCTTGAGGACGATGTCAGCTCCATCGCATGCGTGGTGACCATCGGCAACGCCGCCAACGTGCCGCGCGCCGACTTGCAGTCGGCGCTGGACAGCGCCCAGAGGCTCATGCGGGATGGCGACCCATTTGTGACGTATGTGTGGAACCAGTCTGGGCTCATGAAGCCCGTCATCACGGCGGCCATCGACCTCTCGCACAACGCTGCCGCGAAGGCGCTTCTGGCGCGGGATGTGGCGGCGCGCTTGGAGGCAATTGAGGCGGCGAAGAAGGCCGCCGCGGAAGGCGACACCCTGGCGGACAGCATGGCGGACGCTGCGTTCTTGGACAGCATGACGGCGCGCTACGAGCTCTTCAAGACGTGTCTTGCCCCCCTGAGGTTGGCGAAAGGTGACCCTGCCCTGCACGGGGCAGCGCGCGACCTCCTGGCCGCCGCGGTGCAGCACTGCCTACTGGACGGCATCTCCCTGTGCGCAGCTCAATGGACGGCGAGCTCAGCCAAACTCATGCAGCACGACTTCAAGCGTCTCGGTGCCAACTTCGGAAAGCTGACTGACGAGTTCGAGCCATACGTGATGCACGTCGCTCCAGCCATTGCGAAGCTGTCAGACATCCGGACGCTGATGATCTCAGCTGCAGACGGGGACACCTTCGCGGCTCAGCGCGCCATCATTGAGACGCATCTTGAGCTCGCGGAGGTCCTCGTGCCCAGCGGCTGGTTGTTCGAGTCCCTCCTGTCGCTGGCGGACAAGGACTTGTCGAATCCGGATGCCAGGAGTGCTGTGAAGGCTGCGCTTGCGCAGTTGGCCACGTCGATGCGTCAGCTGACTTCTGACGGGCGCAATGCCCCCCTCGCGTCAGCCGCCGGCGGCGTGAAGGCCGCGCTCGGCAAGGCTTGCGCCGTCGACTTCGAGAAGGAGCTCGAGGAGTTTCTCGCAGGCCTGTTCCATTACTAGTTCGTCCCGAAGGAGCACTGGCACAGAGACGTTCATCACGATGGGATTCCCTGGGCGGGTGCCAAGAAGCACGTTTCGCAGACATCTTCCGACCTCGTGGACCAGCTGATCCTCATGGGCCGACTGAGCGCCGTCCGCATGATCGAGGCGCTGGAGGTCGTCGAGCGCATCCAGTTGACAGGGGCCAACCTCGAGGCGCCCCTGGCCGCGGCCACCGCCGCGCCCCTGTCAACGGCCATCGCCTCCGACACGGTCCAGGATTGGGCGTTGCGCCTGACCTCGGGTCATTCGCTCGTCGCGCAGCTGCGCGGCCTGATCGAGAAGTTCGCGAAGCTGGAGGCCGAGCAGGGCGCGTGGCCGTGCGATGCGTTCACGCAGGACGACCTTGGCAAGCTCGCCGAGATTTCTGACGGCTGGATCAAGACGCTCGAGACGCGGGCCTCGCACTTGCGGTCGGCGGGGGCCGCCGAGCGCGTCGCTTCGCTCAGGGCCGAGGCGCCGCCCGAGTGGCGCGAACACACGGAGACGAAGCGGGGCGACGCATGGATCAAGGCGAATTTGCTGGACGGTGCCATGACCAAGATCCGCTACATATTCCCGCGAGCCCAGGGCTTGGACTGCCGAGGAGGAGGAGGGGGGGAGGAGGAGGAGGAGGAGGAGGAGGAGGAGGAGGCGGAGGAGGAGCACTTCCCTGGTGGGATTTTTCATGCCGATTCCGATGCCGCATCAGGTCCGCCGCTTGAAGGTCCGGGGGCCCGAACGCGCCACCCCGGGGGCCGAAGGCGGCGAACAATTTCGCCGAATTTCGAGCGGCCGGAACCACGTGGGGAAACGCGGCTGCGTTTCCCCACATGGCCTGGTGTCCTGGGGCTGCCCCTGGCGACGTCCTGGGCGCGCTCGGGGGGCGGCCCCGGGCGTTTCCTGGGCGGCCCCGTGTCCTCTTGGCCGCGCGGCCGGGTGCTGGGACCGCGCGGGGAAACGTGGCCGCGTTTCCCCGCATGGTCTGGTGTCCTGGGGAGGAGGAGGAGGAGGCGGCGGAGGAGGAGCACTTCCCTGGGGGGATTTTTTCATGCCGATACCGATGCCAGGTCCGCCGCTTGAAGGTCCGGGGGCCCGAACACGCCACCCTGGGGGCCGACAGCGGCGAACAATTTCGCCGAATTTCGAGCGTCGAGCTTCTGCGAGCGATGCGCGGCGAAATCGAGGAGGATGGAGGAGCAACAACAAATGCATAACACTTCTGGAGGTCCGCGCGGAAGTCGCGGGTCAACGCTGGACCCACCCCCCCCGCCCTGGCGCGCGGCGCGCGCCAGGGGCGGCGTCGAGGGCGCCGTCGGGAGGGCCCAGCGCCGATCCCAGAAATCCGCGCGGACCTCCGGAAGTTTGCGTTGATGTCTTTTCTCTTTCGATGCCCAGGAGTGTTTTTTCTTCCCCGCGGAGAAGCTTCTGTTCACGGTGCCCGCGGACGACGGGGCCGGGTCAATGGCGCCTTGCCTCTCGCTCTCCCCCTCCCAATCCCGACCCCCCCTCCATTGTTCCCTTTCCCCCTCCACCTCTCCCAGCCTCGCCCGCCCCCCGACAAAAGTTTCGAGGTTGGCCGTCTTGGGCGCAGTGGAGCCCGCCGGCCCTTCCCTCTCCCCCCGCCGCCGCGCCCCCCCCCCCCCCGGCCGCCCTCGGCTCAGGATCTCAAGCTCTTCCTGGCGAAGCACGTCGAGTCCGCGCCCATCGCCGACCTGGAGGCGGCGGCGGCAGAGGCCAAGCAGATGGCGGGGGCGATCCTCGCGTTCAATTGCCTGGAGAAGGTGTCGAAGGCCAGGAAGTCGGAGAATATGCAGCTGGTGAAGGACGCCAAGAAGAGCATTAGCGCCAAGAAGTGCATCCCAGCTGAGGCTGCTGCCCCCCCGTCGCCCCCCCATTAGACCTCCCAGATGGGGTCGGGGCAGATGGGCTCTGGGGATCGCGCCGCGTCGTCCGTGCATCGCCGATGCGGCTCGATGTGCAGTCCGATTTGCTTCGCGTCGACGTCGCAGATGCATCGCCAGCGCATCGCCGATGCGTCGCCGATGCATCGGCGATGCGGCGCGATCCCCCGACCACATCTACTCCGACCCCATCTAGGAGGCCACTGCCCCATCCACCTCCCGCTCAATCCTTCATTCCTTCCTAAAGGCTGTGTTTGCGCTGCTCAAGGATAACCCCTGACGGCCGAGGCCGTCGAGCGGGCGGCCGAGGCCGCCGAGCGGGTGGCCGGGGCCGCCGAGCGGGGAGAAGAGCCTTCGGACGTCGACTGCGACTACGACGACGACGACGACGACGACGACGACGAGACAGTGAGGGAATTTCTGCCTCCATGGGGTGGGCAGAAATTCCTTCGGAGTCGTGATCATTGATCACGACGACGACGACGAAGATGGATGGAGGCACGACGACGCTTCCCCTCGTTCTTGAGAAATATTTTCCTGGCCGGCTGGGGCGCCGGCCCGGAGCGGCGGCCCAGCGCCCGAGCTCGCTGGGGGGAGCTTGGGCTGGACCGGCAGCGGCGCCGACGGAGAGAGTGCCGCGGCTGCTGCTGCTCCTCCTGCTGCTGCCGTTGGCGCTGCCGCTCCTCCCCCGTGCCCTCTTCCGGCCCGAGCCTCGAAGACCGGGCCCTCGGGCCCCCCCCTTCGTCGCCGCGGCAGGACGCAGCTTGAAACGCTGGTGCCCGGCAGTGGCAGGGGTGGAAAAAGTGCCGCGGCTGCGCGGGCCTGCTCCTCCTGCGGCTGCTGCTAGTGCTGCCGCTCCACCCCTTCCTCCTGCTCCGCGGGCTCGAGTCTGGCCCCTCGTCGCCACGGCCGGGCGCAACTCGACGCCCTCGGCGATTCTGGACCCCGCGGGGAGAGGTCCAGGGGCCGATTTTGAGCTGACCTCCTGCGGCTGCTGCTGGCGCTGCCGCCCCTCTCCCTTCTCCTGCTCTGCAGGCTCGAACCTCGAAGAACGAGGGTTTCTGGCCCTCGGGGGGCCATTCGTCGCCGCGGCTGGACGCAGTTCCAAACTCTGGCGCGGCTGGACTCCGCCGAGAAAGGTCCCGGGGCCGATTTTAAGATGCCCAGGTTCGCACTTCGAACCCCAGGGCCGGGCTCGGCGTCGGAGGATCGATGGGCAGTGCGACCGCCCTCCCTGGGACGCGGAGCCTCCTCACTCCCCCCCCCCCCTTCCCCCTAGTTCTCCCTTCTCCTGCTTTGCAGGCTCGAGCCTCGAAGAACGATGGTTTCTGGCCCTCGGGGGGCCATTCGTCGCCGCGGCTGGACGCAGTTCCAAACTCTGGCGCGGCTGGACTCCGCCGAGAAAGGTCCCGGGGCCGATTTTAAGATGCCCAGGTTCGCACTTCGAACCCCAGGGCCGGGCTCGGCGTCGGAGGATCGATGGGCAGTGCGACCGCCCTCCCTGGGACGCGGAGCCTCCTCACTCCCCCCCCCCCCTTCCCCCTAGTTCTCCCTTCTCCTGCTTTGCAGGCTCGAGCCTCGAAGAACGATGGTTTCTGGCCCTCGGGGGGCCATTCGTCGCCGCGGCTGGACGCAGTTCCAAACTCTGGCGCGGCTGGACTCCGCCGAGAAAGGTCCCGGGGCCGATTTTAAGATGCCCAGGTTCGCACTTCGAACCCCGGGGCCAGGCTCGGCCTCGAAGGATCGATGGGCAGGGAAGGCGACCGAGGGAGGGAGTGCGACCGCCCTCCCTGGGCCGCGGAACCTCCTCACTCCTCCTCCCCCCTTCTTCCTCGTGTTACTGTTGTTGTACAAGTATGTGCTATGTATGCGTGCGTTTCGTCAATATTCTGATGTCGTTTACTTTCATTATTCGAAGTGTATAGTATATATACATACATATATATACATATATACATATATAAACATATATATATATATACATACATCTATATATATATATATATGTTCAACACTATCGTGTATATTTATCATGTATGCTGCGTACAGCATACAGTTTTTGACAATGAAAAGGAAGGGCAACAGGGGGGGCGGGGCGGGGCGGGGGGGGGGCGGATGGGGTGGCGGGGGGGGGGGGCTTCCAAAACACAAGGGGGGAACCTCCAAAACAAGGGGGGGGGAAACTTCCAAAACGCGGGGGGGGAATTTCCAAAACAAGGGGGGGGCGGGGGGAAGCGCTAGGGGAGCCCCTTTCTCTTAGTTGTTAACGGCATTTTATAAACAAATATCAATGTCCAAATTGTTATGCATGATTTTGGACGTGCTGTGTTTTTCGGTCAACCAGGCGTCCAAGACCGCCCAAGCAGTCCAAGAGGCCCAACAGGGCCCCAATCTGGTCCGAATTTAAAAACCCCGTGACGGCCCAATATGGCCCCAACACGAACCATACCATATATTTACCCCGTCATTCAGGGATACCGCATGTGGAAGTAGTGTGGCCCAAGGACGCATCCAGAAGGCGCCCAAGAGGCGTCCAGAAGACCCCCAAAAGCAATGTGAAGCGTTCGTGAGGTCCCCAACATACTCTCCAAGGATGAGCTTCCGCAGAAGGAGCAGAGGAGGATTGGGACTAATTCGCAGGGGAGAGCGAGAATGAGGAAGAAACATCGGAAACATGAAGAAAGGAAAACGAATGGCATTATTGTGACGACGATGTCGGGCAAGGCAACGAGGAGTTATCGCTATTGGTTGTGTGCGCCGCGTCTTCCGCCTGCATGCCAAACATCATGGACCAAGCTGCAGGGCGCGGGTCGCCAATGCATTCGTGTATGTATGTAGGCATGCATGTATGCATGAATGTATGTACAAATGTGTGTAACATATACATATATATGTATATATATATGTATATAAACACACATATACATACATATATATATATATATATATATATATATATATATATATATATATATATATATCATCAGGAGATATATAGAGAGATAAAGAGAGAGAGAGAGAGAGAGAGAAAGAGAAAGAGAGAGAGAGAGAGAGAGACAGAGAGAGAGAGAGAGCTGTACTAATACAGTCGGCTCCTTTTTTCGTAGACGAACATTGATCTGGTACAAATTCTGGCGCGGCCGGGGAGGCCGAGTCGCAAGCGCCCCAGGAGGCCCCAAAATGGCCCCGGGTGGCCCCACGACGGCCCCGGACGGCCTCAGGAGGGCCTGACGGGCGCCCCAAGACGGCCACGATGGGCCCAAGATGGCTACAGGTGGCCACTCGACGGCCCATCGGGGTCCCCAGAAGGCCCAAGAGGCCCGACAAGACGCCCCTCCGAAGGCAAAACATATGGTTATTCCATGGGGTTTCGGTTTATTTTCGCACAGTCGGTTTCTCGGTATCCTGGGAACTCGAAATGGCCGAAAAGGCCCCCGAGATCGCTGCAAGATTGCAAAAAAACGCACCCAAAAGAGCCCCGAAACGAGCACAGGTCGGCACGAGAGGAGCCCAAGGCGGCACCGAGACGCTCCGAGACGCTCCGAGAGGGCCCCTGGAGGGGCTCCAGACGGCCCAAGAGGGTCCCAAGACAGCCCATTTGGGCCCTCAGGCCGCCCAAGAACAGCCCCAAGAGGCCCCCAAGATTGCCCAGGAGGGGCAAGACGTCCCCCAAGGACCCCAAGGCGACTCAAGAGGCCCCCACGAAGGCTTGAAAACTGCGTCAAGAGACCCCGAAGAGAGCCCACTCTGGACCCTGCAGTAGTACGGCGGCGGTCATACTTACAAGTACATACGTACACACGTACATCCATATATTAATGCATGTACACAGAACGTTCATACATGCATGCATGCATGCATGCATGCATACATACATACGTGCATGCATTCCTACATTCCTACACGCCTACATACCTGCATACCTGCATGCCTACCTACCAACCTACCTACCTGCCTACCGACCCACTTACCTACCTATCAACCTGAAATCGACCTACCTACCTATCTACCTACCTTCCTTCCTCTCTACCTACCTACCTACCTACATACCTACACACATGAACGCATACGTATATACATGCATACAAGCACACACAAACCCACAGTCACAGACACACAGACACATATACACATTCACACATACACACATACATACATACATACACACATACGCATGTGTGAGATACTGCATGTGTCACGAGTGTATATGCGCCACTCGCTGCCGTTGGACCTCTAGGGGGCCCTTTTTGCCACTGCGCTAAAACGCATCAGAATCACACTCGCAGCGGATTTGCCACACGATCCCCGTATCGTACCTGTGATTATGATGCGTTTTAGCGCAGTGGCAGAAAAAAAGGGGGCCCTAGAGGTCAAACGGCGGCGAGTGGCGCAGATACACACGCGACACACGCACTATCACACACCCGTGAAATTTTATCACGAGCTAGCCGGCAGACCGCGCAGTACCGCTGGTCTCAGTAAGCCTCCAGGGGCAATAAAAGAGGAGTATCCCCCTGTTGGGATTACTCAAGCCAAAGGCAGCCAGGACTCAGTCACTCACTACCCCGATGGGATAGCATTCATCCTGGTCCTCGCCAGTTGCTTCTTGACCGTCTTCAAGGTAGGTTCTGGGCCTGGGGTTACGTCATACGAACTTCCGACGTAAGTTCTTACCAAGGAAGTATGTAGGCATATTCTACGTCAGACAATCGCCAGCCACAATGCTTGTATCGATCTATTGGATATCACTACACAGTGTGCGTGGATGTAAAATCTCTATTGTTCTCTATTGTTCCGTTCCATTAGTCACAATATCTTGTCTTAAACTATTCAAATTGATGCTCCAGCGCTTATCTTCCGTCTTACCCATAGCTGGCGCTATGATCTGTTCTTCAATGTTTTTTTGTTCAATCCGTCGTCAATAGGTGCATCACAGAGATGGCTGAGGTGTCTTCCCAGTTGGTTGACAGTTGTTTTCCTGTGCCAAGCATACCACGCGAATGTGCGATGGCGGCACGAATGCGGACACTATATTCCACACCCCATAAACAGGCCAGGGTCACTGCTTGTAGTGTAGATTTCCATACTCGCTTTAGGTCTACGTATGGGGTGAACATGATCACTGTTCCCCTCGATGAATCCAGGCCCTGCGAGTCCATTGAACCTAGCCCTCTGTGATCTGAGAGGCTCGATCTTGCCCTTGGCTATATCCCCTTCTCCTGCCGAGCTGGCGTCAGTAACAGTAAGAACTATCATATAGTGATTCCTCTTACCAGCCCC